TTTTAATAAAAAAGACTTCCTGAAGATAAGAGATTAAAACTGTCTCACTGGTTGGACATACACCTTTAATCTCAATAGACATAATGACACACACCTTTAATTTCAGTAGACACACTAGTTGTCATAGAAACTGGGTGGTGCATGCCTTTAATGATGGTGAAGCACTCTTTTAATACCAGCACTAGAGATGATTATAAAATGGGAGAAAACCGTTCTCAGAAACATAGTTTCATCCTGAGATTCTGTGAGGCAGGGTTGCCACTTAAGACTGAGGTTGAGGTAAGAGCCAGTGGCTGGCTGTTTTGCTTTTTGGATCTTCAGGTTGAACCCCCATTTCTGACTCGAGTTTTTATTAATCACATAGAGTCTGTTAACAAATGTATTGGGGTTGACTCAGGAAAAATTATTTTTACAATGATTATGTGGTAAGTGTATAACTTTCGTTTACAGAGGAAGGTCTTCTTTGTTTGTAATGAGCTTGCTGTGAGGAATATAAGAAGGGTGTTTGAAAAATAAAAAAGATAGAGAACCCCTGAAGGTGTGTGTATGTAAGGGTTTCTCATTGTAACTAGTTCAAAGATATAAGTTTGACCCTCTTGTCAGCCCCAGAAAATTGTTTCTCTTCCTCAGAAAGAAAGATTAATTGAGTGAATAGTCCGCTGACTCTGGCTCCACTTCAGATCCTGAACTGCAGAAGGCTAGTCCCTTACAGCAAGTGTTTTTGATAAAGAAGCCAGATATTCACACCGGGAAAAAGACTAAATCTTCAACAATGATGCTAATACAACTGGATGTCTCTGTGAAGATGAATGAAAATATATTCAGACCCAGCATCCTGCACAAAATTTATGCCCCAACTGGATCAAAGACCTCACAATAAAACCAGATTCAATGAGCTTGATAGTAGAGAAAGGGGAAAAGCCTTGAACATATTGGCACAGGAGAAAACTTTCTCAACAGGACACCTACAGCTTTTCATTAGTTCCATACTTTCCAAATTTGAACTTTTTGACTAGATCATGGCAATGGCTACATAGACTTAAAGAATAAAACCTAGCAACTTTCTTTAGACTTTTGATACTTCCAGAATGGTTATGAGTGCTAACTTTAGATCTCAAATGTTCAGAATTCTTTCTGGACTTCTTTACCTAGTCATTCATATGCTGTATGCAACTGAATATTCGGTGGACTTCTCAGAGACAATGTATCAGAACTTGCTCATTCCTCTTCATATCTCACCTAGCAAAACCTGGCAAGTTATGTGATGGCAGAACCTGTCCTTCAGTGTGCTGATTTATATTCTTAGTATTAACATTTAAATTTTTGATCAATTAAAATTATCAAAAGATATATTGCCTATACCTTATAAATGTATCTTACGTTCAAAATGTTCGATATTTTATCTATATCGCTAAAGATTTGTCTACTACAAAAGTTGATCTGTCTCTATGTGTGCACATATGCACAAATACATAGAGACACAATTTTGTAGAGTCACCGAATCCTTTATTATTACATTATTTTTAGGATAATATCTTATAATCTTTTTTTCACAATCAGAGTGATATTTGTCTTAATGAAGATTTTATGTAGGACTGGAAGGAAAAGTTGAAGCAGTGACTACAGTTCTCTGAACACAATTAACCGTGTCTTTATCCAAAAGCATGAAGACTGTCATGTTGTGACTTTTTTTTATCTTCCCAGAAATAAATTCTCTTATGAACAATTGGATACATCACAACTAATCTGAATCTGGTTGGTTTTAGATTTAGAAACAACAACTTTAGACTATTATATCAATTATTTAATATACAGTTTCTTTTCATGTTCTTATAGATAATCTTGGTGTGTCTTGCTTCTTTAATTTATGTTAGAGACTCCTCATAATTCTTCAACCTTCCATTAAGCCTTTACAGCCTTATTTTCTGTAGTAATTGCATTAGGTCTAGCATTGACATTAAACCTTTGTTCTATTTTTCATAGTGTTTCTACTCCTGTGATTAACACTGATTAATATATCTAATAACACCCTGAATACAGTCTGTCCTCTTGATTAAATCATTTTATTTTAGCATTTTCTACACTCAGTATAATTAGGACATTGTTTTAGACAGGTTAAATTCATAATTATTCTTGTTTCTATACTCACTCAAATCTAGAGCTCTATCCTAAGAGGTTTTCAATTTCCTTCTAAATGGGTTTCCAGTATCTGAACTCCATTTCTATCATTATGCCCAGGCCTCTTTCTTTACCATCTATTTATAATGAATATTTTGATGTTTAAAAAATATAAATGCATTCTGCAATTTAGGTAACATATTCTAAATTTACTGATGTGGGAGTTGAATATGTTTTCTTGCCATTGGTTAATAAAGAAGCTGCTTTCAGTCAATGACAATCAAAGTAAAGCCAAGTTAAAAGAAATAAATAGAGTAGGTAGAGTCAGAGGGAAACCACTTAGCTACCTGCAGGAGACAGATGCCTCTGCAAAAGCCTACTGGAACCTTGCTGGTAATCCACAGCCACATGGCAATACACAGATTAGTAGAAAAAAATGGATTAATTTAAAATGTAAGAGCTAGCTAAAAAGATGCTCGAGCAATTGTCCAAATAATATTTCAATTAATATAGATTTCTGTGTGATTATCTCAGGAATCTGGAGAACTGGGAAGGAACTAAGAGCCAGCACCCAACAATTTACTCTGCATAGATTTGTCTTCCCTAAGATTGAAAGATGCTCCTAACATCCTCAATGTTTTTCAATTCTTATTCTTTCTAAGCAATTTCATTATATACTATATTACTTTGGCTTTTAATTTACTAATTAAAGTGTAGTTCTGAGAGACGTATTTTCTGATAATGTAGTAGAAATCATTTAAACATTTATCCATGGCTTATGTCTATCATCTGAATCATATGACTCACAAGTTTTTGATTATCCATATATGCCATATTTATGGGTAAGAAAGCACTTAAGTAATTCATCTAATTAAAATAAGTTGGGTAAATGAGATTTTGTGGCATTTATAATTATGTAAATATTAAGTTGATTAGCAAGTATTTAAGTTTAATATAAATGTGTACATGCTTCTGTGTGTGTGAGTCTGTGTATGTGTGTGTGTGTAGAAAGGTAGTAAAATAAAGAGGAATTAGTTTAAAAAACATTTTGTGTAATTTTAAAATGTTTATCATTTGTGGCACTAAGTAACTATATTATGGTAGAAATTAACCCCTATTAGCACATGTCATCTACATGTAAACATATATCAAATGGAATATCAAATACTACTTACCACTAAAGAATAGTATAAGAATTATATATTGCCGCACTATAGGAATATATTTTTGTTAAGAGTGGGATAGACAATTAACTGTTTATGAAGCACAAAAGCTGAGATTATAAAAAGTGATACTAAATATATCATTCCTTATCATGGAATTATAGCATGATTTCCCTCTACTCCATATACTATACTGTCACACCAACAGATATGTTATACAATAGATGGTTGTATAGTTATACAATTGATGGTTGATAGAACTTTCAACCTGAAGCCTCTGGAATATTTATAGCCCCCAAAGAGGAGCAACAAACCTTCTACAGCCTCACTTCCATACTTTCCACCTATCTCCAGAGGGTCATACAGATCTTCCCCTCCTAATATCCTTCTCCTTACTGGATGGCTTTATCCTTTCCCCAAACACCAATAGACACTCCCTAGAAACCCACAGGCCAATCTTGTAAGAGGAATTCAGAGGCTAACACCTGATCTTCACCTCTAATTTCTCTCCTCCATATCCAATTCCTGGGTTTCATTCTTACGTCTATACTAGAACACCTGTTGATGACTCCCTTCCCCTAGTTCCCATCTCCAGTAGCCCTTACACACCTTTTCTCCATCCCTGGACTCATTAAGTTATCCCTTCTACTAAATCCATCAGGCACCCCTTTCTTCTTTCTTTCTATTTTTTTTTTTTTTTTGAATTTTCGAGACAGAATTTCTCCGTAGCTTTTGGTTCCTGTCCTGGAACTAGCTCTAGTAGACCAGGCTGGCCTCTAACTCACAGAGGTCCGCCTGCCTCTGCCTCCCAAGTGCTGGGATTAAAGGCGTACGCCACCACCGCCCAGCGCAGGTACCCTTTTCAAAATCGGGTCAGTCTGGCCAGGAAAGCTGGTAGGTTAACTGCAGACCTTCACTTCTTCTGCTCTGCAAAATCAAATCCCCCATTCTCATTACTAGTTATACAACAGAACACATGCTTCAAACACTTTCTCCATCTACATGATCTTCCCCTCCAAACATCACTCCCCTCTTTGCTTGTTCCATCTTCCAACTCTCATGGCTACTTCGTATGAATCCAGAAGTCACTCTATTCAGCAAAACGGGTAAGATAGCACCAGATCTTCACCTCTTCCTCCATTCATCCAATTTTTGGCAGGCACCTGATGGAGGAAGGTCATTGGCTAATAAAGGCACTGCCCTGGCCCATTTTATTGGTTAGAGGATAGGTGGGAGGAGTAAACAGAACACAAAGCTGGGAGGAAGAGGAAGTGAGGTCAGACGCCACAGCTCTCCTCTCTAGAGCAAAGGCCTGAGAGAGACGCCATGCCCCGCTTCCAGCATGAAGCTCCGACCCAGGATGGACATAGGCTAGAATCTCCCCGGTAAGCGCACCTTGGGGTGCTACACACAGATGATTAGAAATGGGCTAAATTAATATGTGAGAATTAGCCTAGAAGAGAATAGGCCAAGCAGTGTTTAAAAGAATACAGTGTCCGTGTAATTATTTCGGGGCATAAGCTAGCCAGGCAGGCGGCTGGGGTGTTGGGGACGCAGCCTTGCCGCCGCCCTTATTACTACAGGCACCAAAAATTTCTCAACAAAAAAGGACTAATGACAAAATGTTTATGGACAGAATTCTGCAAGACCTTTAAAAAGTAAATATTAATTCCACTCAAATCATTTTACACAAATAGAAACAAAATAGACATCGCCCAATTCATTTTAGGAGGTTTCAGTTAATTTAATATGCATACCACAGAAAGACTCAACAAAGAAGGAGAATTACAGACCAATTTCCCTTACAAACATAGATGCAAAATACTCAAGAAAATGCTTGCAAACCAAATCCAAGAACACATCCAAAAGATCACCCATTATTATCAAGTAGACATTATCCCAGAGACGTAGGGATGTTTTGATATATGTGAGTCATTAAATATGATCTATCACCTAAACAAACTAAAAGACTAAAACAACATAATAATTTCAATAGATATATGAGAGGCCTTTGACAAAATCGAACACCCCCTCATGATAGAAGTCCTGCAGAGATTATCTGAATACAGTAGATATATATCAACATAATAAATATACAGCAAGCATATAGTCAACATCACTTTAAACAGATGGAAACTTAACCTGAGCCTTAAAAGTTTTAGCCTTTAAGGCTTTATTCATTGTTTTATTAAAGATGCCATTAATAGTTAAAGGGGAAGACAAAAATAGCATGGTAAGGAAGTCTACTCACAATGAGAATCATCTGCCTATGCTACTTTATTATTCTCTATCTCTTATTACACAACGTTCTGCCCTTATTTCTTTATTCTTCTCCACCTCCTATTACAAAATGTTCCCAATCTCAGCCTTAGCAGGTTCCAGGGCTGGAATTCTTTCGCCCTCTAGCAAATCAGATAAGGGTTCTCTCTCTCTCTCTCTCTCTCTCTCTCTCTCTCTCTCTCTCTCTCTCTCTCTCGTGGCTAGTACACTTCTGTTGAACTCTTTAAAAGGGAAAGTAGAAAAAGGAATTAGATTGTCAGAAAGTTAGTGAAAAAAGGAATTAGATTATCAGGGAATTCTAGAGGGGAAGTTAGTACACTACACTACATTTTTTTGATTGTTAGAAAGGTTTATTTTCAGTAAAACTATGAATAGGGCATGGATTGTTTAAATTAGCCATGCCACTTCTTTTCTCCCAGTATGTACAGAGGTTGCCAAGTAACCAGGCAACCTATGTAAACAGGGAGAAGCTGATGGCTCTTGATCAGATAGCACATACACTAGAAACTGTAGTTTTTAAGGGCCTAAGTCTGGAGATGGAATTACTGCTCTAAGTAAAGAAGAGACCCAAAACTCTAAATTATCAGTTTGGGGCCATGCTGTTATCAGTCATTCTGACTGTGGGTTTAGAGGGTCTTTCTCTGGGCTGCAGTTATTTATCCCTTCTGCTGTCTTTGAGAGACCGGAACTAAATTCATCAGTAAACTGAGGTAAAGGGGTCATAAGGAGTTAATAATCCTTTGATTGAGATAAAACCAGAGCAGCAACTTGGGCAAGTAGTAATTCTATGTCGTTGGATATCTGTGAATATCTTAAAGTAAATGCTCTAGGCCTGGACTCAAAACCAAATATCTGTTGATAAAGATAATTGCAGGAAGTCAGATCTCTTTGCTTACTTAAGAGAGAGGGACATGGCTAGGCAGTAGAAAATTATTCTGAACTAAGGAATTAATTCCCAAATATGTAACAAAAAGGGAGTTAGCTACAGCAAAAAACTACAGCAAAGGACAACCACTTTATTCACAAAGCAGTAGTGCCAACAAGCCTTGCCTTTTGGTTTACCCTTTACCAGACCCCTTGGTCCTGATAAATCAGTTGTGAAGACGGCTGAGCAATTACTGTTGCAGCTTGTAGCAGAAACTCAATGTAATTTCACTAAAATCAGGAACAAGGTAAGGTTGTCCACTGTCTCCATACCTCTTCAATGTGGTACTTGAGTGTTTGATATGGCAATAAGACAACAGAAGGAGAAAAAGGGAAACAAATTAGAAAGGAAGAAGTCAATTTATGTACAGTAGAAATGACAGTATTAACAAGTGATGTGAAAAAATTCCACCAGGATCCCCTAGAACTGATAAACACTTTCTGCAAAATAACTGGATACCAAATCAATGTGCAAACAACAGGGCCTCTCTTACATACAAATGGAGAGGTCTAAGAATAAAAGTCAGAAAAAAACCCACCTTTTTATTATAATAAATTTTTATTAAGAATATAGTTTTCACTCATACAATGCATCTGATGTATTGTATAACATCACAGTGTTTATTCCCTTCAATATTCCCTGTTCTTCCTCAGCTCTGCTTTTTCCTGGATCTACTACCCCTTTGTCTTTTATGAGAAAAAAAATGCCTCCAAATAACAACAAAAGATCATAATAAAACTAAGTAAATAAGGCAAGGCAAGAACCTTCTCTCCAAAGCAGTATAGGGCAGACTGAAAGGACAAAGAGTCCCAGTTTAAAAAAATATAAAAAAAATCTTGGTGTATCTGTAACCAAGCAAGTGAAAGATTTATACAATAAAAACTTCAAGTCACATAAAAAGAAATTGAGGAAGATATTAAATGGAAAGATATCCCAAGTTCGTGGATCAGTAGGATTAATACAATAAAAATGGCCATTCTACAGAAAGCAAATTCAATGTAAGTCCCATCAAAATCCCAACACAATTCTTCACTAATCTTGCAAGAAGACTTTTCAGTTTCATTGGAAACATGAAAAGTCAAGAATAGCTAAAACTATCCTAAACAGTAAAAGAAAAAAATGCTGGGGGAGTCATCATCTCCTCTCTTAACTCGTACAGCAGCATTCTAGTAATAAAAATACCACAGTGTTGTCATAAAAATAGAAAAATTGATTGACAGAAACAAACTTAAGAACAGGATGTAAATCTGCACTTGTATGTACACCTGGTCCTTTATAAAGAAGCCTGAAATATGTATTGCAAAAAAACCCACCATATTTAACAAATGGTGTTTGTCAAAATAAAATGCTATATGTAGAAAAATTCAATTAGATTTATACATATCAGCCTGTCAAAAGGCAAGTTCAAATGAATCAAATATCTCAACATGAAGCCAGATACACTGAACCTGATAGAAAAGGAAGTGGCAAATAGGCTTGAACTCATTGGCACAGAAGACTGTTAGCACAGGAAGTAAGATCAACAATGAATAAATAGGACCTAATAAAACTGAGAAGCTTCTATATGACAAAGGATATTGCCAGTCTGAGAAATACACAGTCTGCTGAATAGGAAAAGGTTTTTATTAACTAACGATTCAATAGAAGGTTAATAGCAAAAATATATAAAGAACTCATGAGACTCTTGGGAAAACAAATAATATGTTTTTAAAATGTGGTATAGTTGGATACCGAATCTCAACTGAGCTTGTCACCAAATGATGATCTAGTACAAGGATTTGGTTGCATCTAATTGAGTGATTGCCCAAAAGGAACCCATAATAATCTCCAAACAACCCAGGCTGTAGATAGACTATAGGATGCTTTCTACAAAATGTCAGTAAGACCCCATTCCTGAAGACAAAAACCTAAATAAATCACTGAGATATTAATCTGTTTTTTTATTGAAAATTTCCACCTCCTCCCCTTCTCCCAATTCCCTCCCCTCCCCCCACACCTCTCTCCCTCCCTCTCCAGTTATATAAGGTGAATTTGGAGTGTTTAGTGCAATTTTATTTAAGTCTATTGTGGGATCTTAGCACACATTGTTAGTAGTCTTTTAACATTGCAAATACAATTATCATAATATTAATATCTAATCACTCAGAGGGCTAATTTTGTGCATACATATTTAATTATGTATATGTGTGATGCATGACTAATAAAAACTCAAAGACTGAAATTGTAGTTCAACCTGAAGAACCAAGAAGGAAAACAACCAGCCACTGTCTCTTTCCTTGACTTCAATCTGAAATGGCGATCCTGCCTCCAGAAATCTCATAAGGAAACTGTGTTTGAAAGCTGTCTACTCCTGTCTTATAATCATTTCTAAGACTGGGATTAAAAGTGTGCATCACTGGGATTGAAGGCATGTACTGTCCAGTCTCTATGGGAAACTTATGTAGCTACTGGGATTAAAGGTCTGTATTATAATTACCTGGTCTGTAAGGCTACCTAGTGGGTCCATCTTACTCTCTGATCTCAGGCAAGCTTTATTTATTAAAATACATTTGAATTGCCACTGCATATATGCATGTGTATATAGAATTTGCATTAAAAGAATTAGAGAGAAAGACAGAAAACAAACATGTCAAATGTGATTATGAAGGCTAAGAATTTTTCAATTTTCCAACAATCCATTGGGAGTTCCATGTAGTTATCATGTACCTCTAGTAGAAAATGAACAGGAGAAAACCTGAACTGCTTTGGTTTTGCTCATGGCATTAGATAATCTACTACAAGTGTCTTAGCTACTGTTCTTTTGAAGCAAAGAAACACTATGTCCACAGCAACTCTTAGATGAGAAGGCATTTAATTGGTGGGCTTACTTACAATTTCAGAACCTTAGTCCATTGTCATGTTAAGCAGCATATTGCTGACATAGCAGGTTTGTTGCTGGAGAAGTAGTAGAGATACATTCTGATCTGCAGCTAGAGAGAGACAGAGAGAAACAGGGAGAGACAGAAAAAAATATAGAGACAGACAAAGAGACATAGAGAGACTGAGCGTGGAATGAGGTTTTGAAATCTCAAAGTCCCTCCCCGTGATATACCTCCTCCAGTGAGGCCACACATTTAATATTTGTAATCTTTCAAAGAATTCCACAACCTGATGAATAATAATTAAAATATATAAGCCTATAGGAGGGCTACTCTCTTTCAAATAATCATTTATCGTTGGACCAAAAATGTTCAACAGAAGAATAAATTTGATTATGATTGTATATAATTAATTTTTAATTAATCTTGTGTTGAACATTTTTAGAAGAAATAAAACATGAGGCACAAAAGAAGAAATTATTTACAAATATATTTGTGATAAAGTTATTGAATTTACAGTGCACATATAACACTTACAATTTAGAAATGAGAATGTGATTTAGGGAAAAGTAAGGCCAAATACCTTAGCAAACATCTCAAAAATGTAAAATATATGTTCAAAATAAGCTCAAGAAAATATTTTATGTAATAGGAAACAACAAATTAAAATGAAGAAATATGACTAATAATTATTAAAATGGCTAAAACTCAGAAGAAGGGCAAAACTAATAACTAGGAATTAGTGAAACATATTTATTATACATTTTACTTGAAACATCTCTGTAATCGATAGATTTTTCTAATTTTTTGTTGGAATACATGAGATGGATTTTAGGGAGAAGGGAAAATAATGACTTCAATTATGAACCCATTGATGAAGTTACAAATTCCCAAAGATAGCTTCATGCCAATTGCCCCTTTTAAACAAAATAGGTCAAAAACTAAATCCTAAATCTGCAATGGGATAGAGAGTAGATAGCTTGGTAAGTACTGCAAAAAAGCTACTACTGCATGTCAGGAGAAAGCAACCACATGCATTTCACACATGTATGAAATTACCAAAATACAAATTGAATTAGCGAAATAGTTCCAATTATTAAGTATTTTGTGACATTTGGAAAAGTGGGCATTTACTAAATGAAACTTTTGAAGAAAAGTTTTCCCACATGTACTGTTTAGTAAAGGTGAACACACAACAGAAACATAACTGATATAATTAGCAGATAGTTAACATTAAGACAATGAAATAAATTGTCATTTGCTCTTATCTGAACAAAACCTGCAGCCTATGATATGATAGTAGCTGGTAGAGTAATTTGGTTTGTAAATATGGCTGTACATCTTGAAAAATCACAGACCCTTAGAGCAGAATTCTCTAGTTGACCCTGATGAAGCCAGAGTGTAACACCTACTGCCAGGCATGCACTTTAAACCGATATGGTGTCACTTCGAATTACTTTGCATTGACATCTGTGGTTATTTAGTATTACAAGTTAATTTGGCTGACTTCCAAAACAAATAAACAAGTGCAAAACTGTCTCAATGTATTTATTGTGCTTGAATGATTGAAGGCCTTTTTGTGCGTGTGTATGGCTTTAATGTTCCAGAATAATTTTATCTAACAGCAGGAGTCAGCTAGACTTACCAATAAACTGTTCTTTTATTGTAAATTATATAAAATCTACATGAAAGGGACATTTGGTTTAATTATAATAATAATAAATAGAAAATGACTAAACCATCGTACAGAAATTTCTAAGCATAACACAATAACTATAATAGCTATAACACTAAAATACAAATGTGAGTGTTTATAGAAAAGCTTGATATAATAATGGAAAAATAAAAATTTTGAACTGCTAGAAATAAAGTGATCATAATTTAATAAACAGAAAATTAAAGCTGTTGAAAAGCAATGAAATACTAAAAAAATAAAATGCTAAGTAATGACTTTTCCCTATGAGATATCCAAATTTCATTCTATCTAAAATCATCAGGCAAAAGAAAGAATTCATCCACTATAGCTATGGTGATATTCAAAGTTCTGAGATTCTTGATACAGATATCATCTCCATTGTGGTGGCTTGAATGAGCATTGTTCATATAGACTCTTAGGTTTTGATGTTTGTTCCCCACATAGTGGACTTTTAGGTAGAACTAAGAGATATAGGCTTGGTGGAGGAAGTGTGTCATGAGAATGTTCTTTCTTTAAGTTTCAGAATTCCCATGCAAGTCCCCATTTCCCTCTCTTTCTGCCTGCTGCCTAGATGAGAATACAAGCTCTCTGCTAGCACTTTTGTCTCTATTTGGAAGGGCTGGCTGAAAATAAGTGGCAAGGTATGTGCTGGTTCTTTGAACAGCACTCTTCTCCAACTTTATAATCACCAGTGTATGACTCAGCACAATTAGAACTCTGCATAATAATAAAACATATATAAGAATTATTGCCAAAACTCCACACAGAGCTTATAACAACTAAATATTCTATTTTATTTCCATAAAATACTCCTAAGAGGATGTTGGATGCAGGTACTGCAGAAATATGACTAGAAAATATCAATCTTGAGTAGTTCACTATTAAAAAAATTTAAAAAGTAAACAAGTAGAATGATACATTCATTGGATAACAGAATTGTCTGTTCAACATATTCTGTTAAAGCACTATTGACTTGGGAGCATAACAATCAAGGAGACAAGTGTGAAAACTATGCTCAATCTATGGAATATAAATCCCTACTCCACAAGCCAATGCGACTATAACTATTGCTGAGTACAGAATTTTCTTGTAACAAGATCATACCCATTTTCTAAATTCACATTATTCAGTAGTAAAGAAGTTTTATTGCTGGGGATGTTAATTATAGTGAATATCTTCTGTACATACTAGGGTTATGTCTAGATGAAACAAGCTGGAGACATTGTAGAAGAAAGAGTTGAGAAAATGTCTCTGTAAGATAGGCCTTTAAACAAGCCCGTAGGTCATTTCCTTAACTGATAGCCTAGAGAGAAGGGCCCAGCCCATTGTGAGTGTTGCTGCACCTGGCATGGTTGTTCAGGGTTGTATAAGAAAGCAGGATGAGGATCTATGATGATAGTTCGGGTATTCACCAATCTGATTGCAGGGGAATACTAGTTAGTTCTGCCCCCCTCTCCACCAATAACAGACAGCTGAAGTAGTCTGGGTTTAACTCAGAGGTCACAACCCACATGGTGGAGCCATAGTTCAGACTTTAGAAATTTATCCTCTGATCTCCAAATGTGCACGAAATATCTAATCATAGTTTATTCTAAGAATGGTCCCACACCAGTTAGTTAAAGGGTAAAGTAGCTGCACAACAGTATTCTGCAGTAATTTTTGTGCATATGTTAGGAACTACTAGCAAAACTAACAAAAATCCATGATATACGTATAAAGGAGTAGTACTGAATTAGTAAAGAAAGCAGTAACAGTGAAGAAAAATGTAATGACAGGAAGAGTTATATTAAAATGAGGTTTGAAATGACTTCTTTAAGAATTAATCACTGGGTAACTCACTATTGAAAATTAATTAAATATAGGACTCTTAGCAAAAGTTGTTCTCCAACAATTAACATAATGTATATTTGGAAAAACAGAGATCATGCCATAGATATAAGATAAAAATGATACAATTATTTATAGAGAAAGGGAAAATATAACATCAGAAAGCTTTATTTATTACTATCATTATTAAAAAGAAATTGCCTACATAAATATAATTCCAAAAGATATATCTTCAAACACACAAGGTATGTAGGAAATCATTAGCATATTCAATATTTAGCAAATACTGGTGTGCATTATAGGATGAAGGAATGTTGCTATGGATTATATAATGATTTTTTGATTGATTGTTCGCATATATACTTGCATAGCATCACTACTTAGGTTTGAGTAGCTATGTATTATGGTATTTAATAAAATAAATAAGCAACAAATTTTCTAAAATATAACCCCAGAATTAAATAATACATGATTCTATACAAATATTTTCAATCATTTAAATATGAATATCAATGCAAAAAAATTCCTAGGAATAAATTTCTTTTAATAGATAAAAACTGTACTTCATTGTAGGCCCATATTTCCAAATGGTACGGCAGCCAGGTCTCAAGCCATAGTGGTCACATACCCTTCCTGTGGAAATTTAGCCACCTTCCTGCCTGTCATTCCCACCCTGGTCAGTTGGCTAACGTTGGTTCACAGCACTTTTCATTTGTGTCACACAGTCTGAGACTGTGTGCTGCAGACTCTGCCAACCATGCCTTCAGGTCACAGTCTGCAGCTATCCAGCCTTTGCTTAGACCAAGGCCCACAGCGCTGCACTGGTGCAAAACAATGTTGACAGACTGGCCTTGACCCAAATCCTTTTTGGGAGGATGCCTGTCTTGCCATTTGGTCTCTCTCTTAGGGCTGACAGAAGCTTTGACTCATCCTCTATTCTGGCCATGGAAACCATCTCTTGTTTAATAGAACATGCATAACTTTTCTTCAGCAGAAGTGTGCTCAATTTTATGGTGGGCCAACTTATAATCTCAAATTCATAGAATATTGATTTTCAGAAATATTCTCACATAATTTTTTAAAGCATCACTACATTTTGAAGTTTTGAGCCACTAACTGTATCACATGTTTCAGCAAGTGAGTTAATAAGGGGGGGGGGGATATGTAGCTATGAAGGCATTGGTTTGTGAAGTGAAGTACCTATTTATCTACGTCTAAACAGGTGACAATTACATTGGAGTTAAAAGCAGTTTAGATAGATAGATAGATAGACAGACAGACAGACAGATAGATAGATAGATGATAGATAGATCTATCTGTCTATCAACTACATTATATATTATAATAAATATATATATAATTGCTATTTTAGTTTATTTTACATACTTAATGGGTGACTTGTGCTAAGAAAGTAAGTAGTAAAGTGTTAACAAACATAAAGTGGAATACAAACTGCCTTAAATATTTTCATGCAGAAATTCAGTTACATATATTTTGTCATACAAAATAAATATTATGGGACTGACTAGTATTTTTGTAAAGACTTTTCTTATATGCAAAGCTTTAATCACAATAAAGTACTGATTAA